AGGAGCCGCAGGTGCCGCCCGCGGCGTCCGCATCGCCCGCGCCCGGGCTCCCGGCTGCGGGTCGCCGCTCCGCTCGCTCGCGCTCCTGGCCAAGCGCGTAGCCACCGGAGTTGACGGCTGAGCCTGAAGAACTACTGGCGATCCCGAGCACCCAAAAAGTCTCGTCTCTTCTCCCCACCTCCCACTCGAGGCACCACGTGACGGCTGCCGAGTTGGGGTGGGGGTGGCGGGCGGGGAAGGCTGGGACAGACTCTCTATGTCCCCACCCCCTTCCTGCCGTGCTCCTCTCCCGCCTCCACACGTCCCCGGGAAAGGGGCGCCGAGGCTTGGGGGAGGAGTGTAGTTTTCTTAGGTTGGGAGGCCCGAGGTTTGGGGAGCGAAGAGGAGGGCGCAGCAGGTGCCGCGGGGACCCGCCGGGCGCAGATTGAGGGACCCGTGGTGGTGATGTCGGAGTACTGCGTGCGGAGCTGGTTCTTCGCGCGCAGGGGCGCATCCCCTGCCGACTCCCCTCGCCCCAGTCCTCTGCGCCTCTCGCGGATGGCTGGTACCCGCACGATGGGGTCCCGCCCACCCAGCGGGAGCTGTCGCGCTGCGGGCCGCTGGCGGGAGGGGGCTGCGCTCTCGTACGCCTGGCAAAGTTGCAAACACGCAGGCTCCCTAGGGTGTCCCGTGCAGCCGCACCTCCTCTTCCTCCGAGAAGCCCCTCGGTCTTTACCGGGCTAGGCTTCGGCTGCGGCGGGATGGGTGCAGGTGTGGCGGGGGCCCTGCCCTGACTGGCGCGCTCGCCCAGGCCGCTCCCCCCTCAGTACATCATTTCAAGAGCATGGCACTGATTCAATTTATTGCTGCCTTTTTTTTCTTTTGCTACAAATATAATTTCTCTTCCAAAAAATTTACAACTTCTGTACAAGTATTCAAAAAAAAGTGCAAAATTAAGAATTCTGTATTGTACGTGTTTTCTTTGAATCCTCTTGAAACACAACAAATGGAGTCTATCTTCATTGCCCTGTCAGAGAAGAAAGCCCTGGTGGGTTGCGGGTTGTGAATTTGACAATGTAAGTTCTGGTGTTGCAACAGATTATTATTTCATCTTTATACCCCCAGCCCCCATTTCTTGAGTGCTCCAATCCCAGCTCACCAAGGAAAAAAAAAGTCCTTTAGACATCATTTGAACCTTGACTTGCACAGGAAGAGAAGCTATCATATAAAGAATCACTCAGAGATTCCAAATTGTCCACCCCGGGCCTATCTGAGCTACTCAAAGATGCCTCTTCATTTTTTTCCTTTTCTTCCTTTTGTCCTTCAACCTTGTTCAGAGAGTTCTTCCCTTTTTCTAATAAAATCACAGTATTGCTGTTAAATTTACTGAATGACTCCAGGGAAATTTTAGATAATCTATTCTCAGGATCTTCTTTTGTTTCTTCAACTTGTTTCAATTTCTGCAATAAAAAGAGGAAAATATTAGAAACATATTTCTTTGGAAAATCAAGTTATCCTATGCAATATTCAATTATTGTCTGCATCAAGTATAGTTTAAAGAGATAGAGAGAACCTCCAACTCTTTAACAATCTTCTAGTATAATTAAATGTAATAATAAAGCCAATTAAAATTGGGATAAATCAAGACTTTAATCATTTTACTGAGATAAATAGGTCCCAATTTACAAACCAGTTAAGTGCCACTTAACTTCATTTTAAATGGATCCATTTGAAATTTGTTCAGGTAAAATGCCTTATTTTTCTTAATCAAAGTTTCAAATTCCGTTCTTTCCTTGCTAAGTATTACTTATACTTTTTCTAAATATGGGTAGAGATTGAATTTTAGCCAGAAATTACAGTAATTTGTAAAAAAGGCATAAAATCCCTTAAATTGCCATAAAATTTAAGTACATATTAAACCATCAGAAGCATTGTCATATTTCTATTTTGTCCCTTTACAAGACTTAAGAAATTTGAAAGAGATCTCCAGGTCTTTGGGAGTAGATTACAGAAGGCCCTACAGCTTAAAAATCATAAGAACAAGTCTGCAATTTAGTAATCCCTCCCCTCCAGGAGGTTCTAGGAATACCAATTTATATAGGGATATTTATAAGATGTTATTAGTACCCTCTAGTACTTTATAAAACACTGCAGCCATATTCAATAATTATTGTAGGTAAACTCTGAAAACATGAATATGTTCAGTTGCTAGGTCTGGGGTGAGGACAGAGGGAGGCACAAACACAAAATCAATGAGAAGGATGGAGGTGTTAAAGCCTCTAAAACTTTTCTTATTTCCTTTTCCTCTTTCAGGCAAAAATTCCATGCAAATACAAGAAGAAGCAGGGACAGGGGCTTAGAGATGATGATAATAGCAACCATTTATTAAGCATCTACCAGGTAAAAGACACAACAGATTTGCTCTTTCAGCCTTTTCACAAACCTGCAAGTTACACATCCTCATTTTAAAGATGAGAAAAATAAGGCTCAGAGTGACAGAGTTACTGCCCAAGGGTGTCCAGCAAGTGGCAGAGACAAGATTTGAATTTCCATCTGGCGGCCTTCCACACTCTTGTTCCTTCCACTAAACCATGTTCTTATGTAATAAAGGACAAAATATCCTGTTTGTTTTTCATTTTGTTACCCAGAGATTCCACTTAAATAACTTGCCAAACATATGCAGTTCCGTTCCCCATCCCCCTATCATATTGGTCTTATTTACAAAGGTGCGATGAGGAAACTGTTTTGATTGGGGAAAATAGGTATAGCTGAAGCCTATGGATTCTCACATGCTGAATATTTCACAGAAAGAGAAAAGAGAGAGAAAAAAGTGGATGGCTTCTGGTTTCGTGTCCCAAGAGCAGAAACAGGCCGAGTTTCTCTGCTATGGAAATAGTGTGATTCTACAAAAAAATTTGAAAATCATCCTTGAAGTAGTGCTTATTTTATTATACTACTAACATGCAAGAGCATTACTCATAGAGCTAATTTTCAATCCCAAATGGCTACCTTGAAACCAGAGGCAGACTGAGGAACAGATTCCCAGCTGATTATAGGAAAAAGTGCTCCCATAATTAGGAATAACTCCATGCGAGACATCTTTTTTATGCCATGCTGATCTTTAAGCATTCTTTTCAAATTACATAGCACAACATTAAAAACACATGGAGAGAGTAGGAAATGCTTTGGAAAGGGTAGTAAATGCTCACCTACATTTACCAAATGAAGGTAAAAAGACATCTTTTTTATGCCATGCTGATCTTTAAGCATTCTTTTCAAATTACATAGCACAACATTAAAAACACATGGAGTAGGAAATGCTTTGGAAAGGGTAGTAAATGCTCACCTACATTTACCAAATGAAGGTAAATAAAGGACATTCAATGCAACTTTCTCCTCACCTGAATGTCTTCTCCCTCTCTCTCCATTCAAGAACCACAATCATTTTTCTGGTCTATGTGGATCTCAAATTCATTCAACAAACACACACTAGAGAAGCTACCATGAGGCAGGCGGAAGGATTTGGTGCTGAGGGTACACAGCAGAATAAAACTGTGTCCTACAGGGGATAATTGAAGCCCTGGAGGCAGACAGATCTGAGCTTCAGTCTCAGCTTGGCCCTGTCACTGGCTGTGTCTGGTTTCCACAAGCATCCTTCTTCAGCTGTAAAGGGTGATAAGACACACCTGTATTTCAGAATTGAAATAAATATTAGAAATAAAGCACCTTAAGGCCCTGGCACATAGTAGTAGGTGCTCGATAAATGTGAGACAAGAATCTTGTTCTAGAACAGTGGTTCTCAAAGAGTGCTCCCCAGACCAGCAGCATAAGCATCAGCATCACCAAGGAGCTTGTTAAAAATGCAAGTTCTTGGACCCCAACCAGTCCTACCACATCAGAAAGTCCGAGGGCCAGTAATCTGTTCTTAACAAGTTCACTGGGTGGTTTCGACAAATGCTAAATTTGAGAATCACTGGTCTAGAAGAACTCCT